AAGACGTTGCAATGTCCTCAAATATGTGCTTGTTTATATAAAACTCTCTCCTAGAACAAATGGTCAGTATAAGTTTTTTCTTTATTAATTTATAGAATATAGCAAATACATTTTTAAGTTAGGTTTGCTATTTAGTTTAGCCAGATTAGTTTACAGTTTACTCACATTGGTTTGCCAGTGATAATTGAATTAGCCAACTTCTTGGATGCTCAGACATTATCACAGGTCAGTCGCAATGCTGATTCAAGGATTCAAGGAAGCTTTATTGTCATTTGCATCACATCTTTACATGAGGTGGAACGAAAATTACGTACAGAGAGCGAAAAGTGAAAAGAAACAGAATAATGAAGAAACAGAATTTTAAAAAAAAAACAGATTTAAAAAACAAATAAAAGTAATAAGTAATACAAATAATATGAACAACTGAAGTATGATATATTATACTGGGGTGCAACGATACACAAAATTCACGGTTCGGTTCGATACTTTGGTGTCACGGTTCGATATTTTTTCGATACAAAAAAAATGTTCATGCCTTTTTAATTTGTCATTTATTAAAATTATAAATATATATTTTAACTCAAAAGTACAGTTTTTAAATTTAATGTTGCTGAAACAACAAAGTAATAAAAAAAAAAAATCTGATTGAGGAATCACTCATCTTTGGAAAAGAGAGTTTATTACAGAGAAATGGCTCTTTCCAAAATAAAAGCTATACTATACCGCTTCTTCTGGGCTATATTCTCAGCAGCATATTAAACATATCAGGTCCCCATAAGGAGAATCATGTGCTAACGGCTGTCTAAGGCTACGTTCACACTGCAGGTCTTAATGCTCAATTCCGATTTTTTGATCAAATCCGATTTTTTTGTCTGCTTGTTCACACTACAAATAAAATGCGACAGCAAACGCGCTCTAGTGTGAACGCTCAAAGCGGCCCGCATGCGCAAAAGAAGACTTCACACACAACGCGCTCTGTTTAGACCCAGAGCAAACAGTATTGTTTGACAGATGGCCCTTAATATAAAGACTTCGGACTTTACGTTTCCCAATTTTTGCTTTAAGTTATTTTGTTATTTACATAATAATGTAAATAACCTAATAATTATCCTTATTGCTGTTTTAGAGAGAGCGGTGCTTCAAAGGATAGTTGCAGATTTCTGTCAGAATCTGCAGATTATACAGTACAAATAAAATGTTCACGTTTCTCCAACGTTGTCTTCCCAACAGATTTCACTGACATCTACACGGGATGGCCAGGAAGCGTTGGCGATGTCTTCTCGCTCGGCGCTGATAATTGGCGTCTGTCTTGTGTCAGTGACGTAAAAGACGGATTTAATGCGACATGACCGTTCAAACAGCAGTCGCTTTCTAAAACATCGGATATGTATCGGATTCAGTACCACATACGAAAGTGACCCAGATCGGATTTGAAAATATCGGATTTGTGCCGTTCACACTGTCATAGCATGATCGGATATGGGTCGCATAGGGTCAAAAAAATCGGATTTGATGCGCTTTCGCCTGCAGGTGAACGTAGTCTAAATGACTCGGGTAAAGTTTGTAGCATGCGTGCTTGTTGTTTTTGTCTGCTTCCACTTGTCTTTGCACTAGGATGATGTCGGAGTAAATGTGCAGTCATATTCGTTGTGTTCCCACTAGTGCTGTCAGCGTAATCTCGTTGAAATGACATTAACGCCACAACACGGCAAATCTCCGTTAACGAAGCTACCGCGACGCCCGTGCATGGGGCTAGACGGCCAACACGTTAACAAGCTAACTGCGCTAACGACACTAGTTCCCACCACATGTAATTGAGCATTGCGTGGCACATCCAACATACTGTTTTACTTTAGTCCATGACGCGCTTACCTTCAGGGTCATACGTCACATGAAAACCAAAATAGTTCCAAACGCCAGATCTGAATGAGGGTGGGGGAGGTTCAATTTGCCATGTTGCAAGGAGAGCTTAACTTCTGTCTCGCTAGCTTGCCCTGCGCTCAGTGAATCTGCGTTCGACTACTCCGCCTAGGCTGCACTGTCGAGCGCAGATCCACTGAGCGCTCAACACAGACAGCATCGTCAGAAGGAAAGTTGATAAAATAAATTAAAAATTTTGTATTGTTCGATACATATGCGTACCGAACCGAAAGCACTGTATCGAACGGTTCAATATCGATACGAGTATCGTTGCACCCCTAGAGTATACGTATAGAAAAGTAGGTATAAATACTTTAGCAGCAAAAGGGCATGATGACCAGCATTGATAAAGTGATGGTGTCAGTAAGTGTCAGTAATCCTGGACCAACATTGTTTTGATGACATAGAAACAATACCAACACATAACTGACAATTTTTTGGTGATAGTTTAACTTCCTCTTACTGATATCAATTAAAACTATATAACTACACAGTTGGTGTTCACTTATTTCACTCTCGCTTTTGCACCTCAGCAAAAAATGTGGTTTATCACACAAATACTTTCACAGCACTGCACCTGGAGTGAAATTGGATTTAACAATGGTAAATTCCTCAAAACCCTTTCATGATTTATTTGTATTAATTTATTTGTATTATTATATTTGCTAACTATACTGCCCTTATTTCGAATTTATTAATAATATTATTGTTTACAATTTAGGCATGCTTGCTTGGCTGCCTCAATCTCAGTCTATCCTTTGCATCCTCTATCCGAACTGGCATTCTTGAACCTCAGCGCCACCCGTAGTCTCTGACAACACAATGATGGCTGCTTCCACAGGCAGTAAGAAAGGACAGGAACTCTCCAAGGCTGAGTACCTAAAACGTTATTTATCAGCCGACGATGATTCCCTGAAATCTAAAGGAAAGGCAAAAAAGAAGCGGCGAAAGGTTCCCGAGAAGGGGTGAGCCGGTGGCGACGGTTTAGTCGACTTTTGCCGCAGATTTAGCTGTATTTGTTAGCCGTTAAGCTAGTTAACGACTCTGTTGTTGTGCAGCGCTGTTTTCCTCACTGCCTAATGTAATAACTTACTCGTGTTTACTTCTTTGATTCAAGACTTAAAATAGTGGACGATGACATAGATTGGAAACAGATGGTCACACAGCAGACGGAGATTGAGGAAGAGGATGAAGAAGAAGCTCCAGTGGTAAGATGACGTTAGCTAGCTACCTGGCTAACCTGTCCATTCATTCAGTTGAAATGATTACGGAAACATATGCTATATACGCTCCTGTATATGAGGGGTTCTTTTAAACAATAAAAATGCGCCTGATGATTTGAGACACCACTGGTCAGAGGGCCCGGTGGCGCCAGTGTCCGGTGTTCCAGATCTACTGGCGTTTAGATCAACTGGCGTTGGTCGAACAGATGTGTGGCAGTCTTGCGTTTCAG